AAGTCCTCGCCGCCATGCGGGGCGGCGCGGGCGCGCGAGGCGGGGGGCGGCCAGCCCCGGGGCGAGGCAGGCGGGGGGGGGGGGGGGGGGGGGGGGCCAAATGATTCACTTTTGGGTGGGTCGTTCTGCCCCCTCCCCCCCCCCCCCTTCCACCCCGCCTGCCTCTCCCTCGGGCCAGCCGTTCGACCGCCTCCCTCTCCCGCCCCCCTTCGTCCTCGTACACCTCGTTCCCCTCTTCCTCTTTTCCCTCCTCCTCCTCCTCGCGCCGCCCCCCCTCCCTGCGCGTCCTCTTCTTTTGTTTCTCTCCCCCGCGTGGTTCAGCCAGCCTTCTCGGCCCCTCTCCCACCTCCCAGCGGGCCGCGGGGCCCCGAGGGCGGGCGTCGCATGATGTGGTCTCGAAGCTCGCGTCCTCGGGGGCCGCCTCGGGGCATGGGGGGGGGGCACTTCCTCATTGTCCCTATCATCCGCGCCTTCCTCCTCCACTTGCTCCTCTTGCCTCTCCCCTACCCCGCGCCCCCTCCCCCGCCCTCGTCGCACTCCTCATCCTCTCCTTCGTCGCCGGCAGTCTGATTGCAAGCTGGTGCTGGCTTGCCATTGTCGCGCGCGCGTGGGTGTTTGGCGTTCGCCCGACCCCGCTAGTCGGTCCAGCAGCTCGGCTGGCTCGACGTGGGACGGGGCGTCAATCTTCCTGCCGATGTGCTTGCCCTTGCTGGCGGTCTCGCTGACGGGCGCAATCTTGACCATGCCGTCGGCCGAGAAACCAAGGATCTTTCATTTCTGCTCGGCGTTGGGGTCTGCAGGCGTGTTCAGCTGGACCGGCGCGTTGGCGTGCCCACCAGCCTCCCTCGGCGAATATGCGCTGAGCCCGCCGCCGACGAGATCCCGCATCAACCCGCTGCTGGGCAGGCCGCCGTAGGCTGGAGCTTCAGCGGGCGCCGGAGCCCACGGCAAGGCAACCTCGTTCGCGATGGCGAACTGAGTGAACATCTCGACCATGAGCTTCTGCTTGATGGCCTCTGCGCTGACGATGTTCTCGCGGTGTTTCGCCTTCTTGCCGCGCAGGAAAATCGCCATCCGCACCTGGAAGTCGCCGAAGAGCTTCGCCATCGCTGCATCGACCGCGCCTCCGCCAACGACGCTGCCACCGCCGCGGGCCATGCGTCTGTCGCCAGCGACCTTGACCCACTCCTTCGCAGCTACCATATCACCCTGAGCCTTGAGCGTCACAGCCTTCCTCTTGAATATGCCGGCCAAGTCGCTCGCGTTGAAGAGCTTCGCTACATCTCCGCTGCAGTGGCTGCCAGGTGCGACGAGGGGTGCCTTGGCGATGCCGACCATGTAGTCGGAGGCCTGGCTCGTCTGCAGGGCCGCGAGCCCTCGAATCAGGGCTTTGGGAAGGTCGCGCCTCGCGGCGATCACCGCGGAGCACGCCTCGACGCACTTGATGTAGGTCGGGTCGGAACCGCCGCCGAATTTGATCACGAACTCGCCGACGTCGCGGATCTGCCCCGGCAGGTGCGCGCCGGTGGCTTCCATGTCGCGGGTGATCGCGTCGAGCTTGCAATCGTTCCACATCGCATAGTTTGCTGGAGCTTTCGAGTGAGCGGCGAACGTGGCTTGAATATGGGTCTGCTTCCTGTCTATCCCGTGGCCGACGTTGCCAGCCTCGCCCAAGAGGCTCGCCAGCTCGGGGATCGCGTCTGCGACCTGGTGCCGAATTGCGAATCAAGGGATGCCGTCCGTGGGCGGCTTGTTGCGCGAGGGGCTCAACGCCGCCACCTTTGCAGCCGGGGCCCCCGTGCCCGGAGATGCCCATTCCACCCCGAGCTCGAAACAGCTCTGCACTGCGCGCTGCATGCTAAGGGGGAGATGCATATTTAAGGCTGGGGCAGAACGAACATGTTCGGGCTGGGGTTCGGACCGCGCAACCTTCTGCCGCCATGAGCGGCCGCCCGTGCACAGACGGGGCAGGTTCGAGGAGCACCGCGTCAGCGCGCTGCGTTGACCTGCAGCGGCGGGAGCAAGTCAGCGTCGCGATCCACATGCTGCGCCTGTCCACGAGAGATAACTGGCACCAAAAGGCCGCCCGCAACTTTCGATTGAACTCGCGCGCCGTCTTGGCCCTCATCGGATCGATCTCCACGCACCTGGGCGTCTCGAGCTCGCGGTCGCTCCAGCCCTGATGCGCTATCTTCGCCGGCAGAGCGCGCGCGCCATGAGGGCCCGCGCCCATGCCCCGGCGATCGCATGGGTCGACGACGCTCTTGTCAGACCGCATCCGCCCGAAGTGCCCGAGCCCTTTGTTGAAGTGCCCCTCGCATGCGTCATCGGCTCGCGTTTCCGTCTGGCCCTTGGACTGATCATCGCCCGAGGGGTTACGCTCAGCGATCAGGCGCTCGATGTTCGCGGTGCGCTGGAGCAGCGCGGCCCCCATGTTGGGCGCTGCGCCGGCATTCCGTCGAGCGCGAAGTAGGCCGAAGGTCGGGGCCGGACAGCTCGGGCCAAAGCAGCTGCGTTCGAAGCAAAAACATCACCACCCCTCACCCTCAGACAATCGGCGCGCCAACCCACGAAAATATCAATCTGCGCCCTTCCATAATCGCCCCCCTGAAGATGGTGCAACCTGGTAAGCTAGCCTGCGCAGGGTGGATGTGCAAGTGGCCGAACATTGCTTCGGCGAGCCCCTGTAACCTGAACTATCTTGGCCACGTGCGTGGTTGCGCGCAAGTGGATCGGAAGGGAGGTAACCAGCTTCTTCGGAAAATATATCGAGTATCCTCGCAAATTGCTTACTGTTTGACAAGAAGTGGATAGCGTGACTACACTAAGTTCTGGTAGCTTGTAACCTACATTACACGTGTGATAACATGTGGCTCATCAACGCACACCGAGGTTGAACCGCGCAAACCACGCAACAAAGGGGGCGGCGTTTCAAGCAGATTTGCGCGCGCCGGCGCGGCCCGGCCCCGGATTTGCAAGACGCGCCTGCGCCGCCGGGCCGACATGTGCGCGCGCCCGCGCGGCCGGGCCCGGGTGCGCAAAACGCGCCGTATCGGCCAGGCCGGGATTTGCACGCGGCCCCGGCCAGAATGCGCAAAGCGCGCCGACGCGGCCGGGCCCGAATATATGCGATGGCGCGCCGGCGCGGCCGGGCCGACGATGAAACGCTCCGGCGCGGCTGGGCCCGAATGCGCAAAGCGCGCCGGCGCGACGCGCGAAGGCGCGGCCAGCGGGGGGGGGAGGGGGGGGGGAGGAGGAGGAGGAGGAGGAGGAGGAGGAGGAGGAGGAGGAGGAGGAGGAGGAAGAAGAGGAGGAGGAGGAGGACGGGGGAGGGGTGGGGGAGGAGGGGGGCCGGGGGCGGCGGAGGAAGAACGACGACGAGGGCGAAGGGGAGGGGGCGAGAGAGGCGGGCGAGGGGTTCGCAGCAGGAGCGCGTGCAGAACCCGCGCGGCGTTCCCCGTTGATGTATTGGCGCGCGGGGCCGTGGTTTTATTCGGCGCGTCGCCGCCGCGGGTTCGACGTCGCCCATCGCGCGCGCCCGCGTTCCCGTCGCTTCGGAAGCTAATCGCAAGCTAGTTTTAGCGACCTCGGAAATTTACTTTGTTTCCAATGTTTGTTTATCTCATTTGCTGTTTTGATCTCCAGCTGTCTGATGCCATCCGGCGCCGTGAGGCTCGGTCGCCTTGTGGCTCACATCAGGGGAAAACGAGACACCGAACCGCAAAATCAAACAGCGCGGCGTCGATCGCCCGCGCTTTCAGACCTGGGGCGGCCGAGACAATGAACCAGACAAGCAGATAACACAGCCCTCTTTTTCGGTTGCCGCCCCCGCCCCCCCCCCCCGCCTCCTCGCCCACCCCCCTCCCCCGCGCATTTGGGGGGGGCGAGACTCCGAACCGGAAGTCAAACGTCAGAGACCAAGACCGCCTTTTCGAGGAGACGCGGGGTAACCGAAACACCGTGCCAAACAATCACGCATCAAACGACAGCGTTGTAACCCCTCCGTCATGATTATGTCAAAACATTGGAGGTTTTGGGGTCCTGAAGGGACAGGGCAATATCTCCACATCATTTTCTGTTTTCGTCTCCCTTCTCCCGCGTGGCCGCCCCCTGCTCCTATTCCATCGTCTGCCCTCTTCGTTTCGCCTGCCTGATTTGCCCTCTCTCCTGCCTTTTTCCTGGTTCCCTCTCTCCCCTCCTTCTCACTGGTCATCCTATCGTCCCGGTCCTCCGTTTCTGCCCTTTTCTTGCTGCCGCTCTTCTTCTCCCCCTCTCTTCGTCCGTCCTCCTGCCCTTTTTCCTCTTCCATTTCCTCCTCTCCTCCTCCTCCTCCTCCTCCTCCTCCTCCTCCTCCTCTTCCTCCTCCTCCCCCTCCTCCTCCTCCTCCTCCTCCTCCTCCTCCTCCTCCTCTCCTCCTCCCCTCCTCCTCCTCCTCCTCCTCCTCCTCCTCCTCCTCCTCCTCCCCCTCTTCCTCCCCCTCCTCCTCCTCCTCCTCCTCCTCCTCCTCCTCCTCCTCCTCCTCCTCCTCCTCCCCCTCCTCCTCCTCCTCCTCCCCCTCCTCCTTTGCCTTCGCGCACCCCCTCTCCGAGCACGCGTATGATGCCCGAAGCAGCCGTGGAGGAGGACGAGGATGAGGTGGTTCGGGGTAGCTTAGAGGTGAGAAGTTTGGGAGGGCTCTAGGGGGTCGAGGGTCTCGAGGGTCAGAAGGTTCTGGCGACTGGTCGGTGGAGGGGCAGGAGCAGGCGTGCGAGGACGAGCAGCCACAGGAGGAACAACATGAGGAGGGGCAGGACAAGGACGGGGAGAAGGAAGCTGAGGACGGGGGGGAAGAAGAAGGGCACGAGGACGAGAACGGAGGGCGAGGATGATGCCGAAGAGGACGAGGAGGAGGACGAGTCCTGCACAGGAGAGCGCGCCGGCGTCTGACCCCCGCTCACTTCTCCAGGGAAGAGCGCCAGTTGGCGCGATCTTGCCGAGAATTCATGTGCGAGACGCCTGCGGCGGGTCGCCGGCGCACCCTCGGGAGTCATTGTGAAAAAGAGGAGCCCGGAGGGAAGCGGGCCCTGAGGTGTTCAGCCGTGTTCGGCTTCCCGCGGCCGACCAGAAGCGCGACTCGAGATGCTTTCAGCCGACCACAGGAAGCAAAAGGCCCCAGGGCCTCGAGGGTCCCCGGCTGGGGCAAGACCTGCACGCGTGTGAGGCGGTGATGAGGATGAGCAGGAAGCGGGGGGGTGTTTCAGTTGACGCTTCTGCTCTCCCTGAGGCCCCCCAGGCCTTCTAAATGCCTTTAGAAATCTTAGGAGGCGAGGGAGAAAGGGAGAGGGCGTAGGGCTTGTTGCAGCCCACAAGGGCGGTCGTAGGAGGATGGCGTTGGGTTCCCTGCCCGAGGCATAATGCTAACATGCATTGAGCAGTGCAGTCCTCGCGCTGAATGCGTGGCATCTTTGGTCAGGGAGGGGCTCGCTTCGGGGTCCGTTCTTTGGACGTACGTCACTGATCCTGCTTGCGGTCAGGATTCGCTGTGGCCAGTTCGTAATCCTGCTTCAAGTTCTTCGTGGTAAGACTTCGGCTGTAATTATTTCGCACACCCCCAGCGAGCAACAACCTCGCTGGCAGTCTTGCCTGATAGCGACGCCCGCCGTGCACCATTCCTGTTGGGTGTGTGTGGGAAAGCGCGCCAGTGGATGGCCCTGAAGACACTAAAGGGGGGGCGTGCTCGCAGAACCCCCCCCCTCCCCCCCTCAAAGGGGGGGTGGGATTTTCGACCACCCCCCCCTCCCCCCCCTTCCCCCCCTTGGCGCTGGAAATTGGGGGGGGGGTTAGAACCCCCCCCACTTGCGCCGAACAGGGAGCTGGGGAGGGGGCCTCTCGGATAGTGAGTGCAGGGTAGAGTGTTTTGAGTAGCGATTGGTGAGAAGTGGGTATTTTGAGTAGTGCGCAGTGAGTCATGAGTGGTGAGTAGTGAGTAGTGGGTAGTGGGTACTGGTCATAGTGAGCAGCGCGTCGACAGTCGTGAGTAGTGAGTAATGGGTAGTGAGTAGTGGGAAGGAAGTAGTGAGAAAGGAATGATGAGTACTGAGTAGTGAGGAATGAGTTGTGTGTGGTGAGTAGTGCGTAGTGAGTAGTAAGCAGGGAGTAGGGATGAGGGGGTAGACAGTAGCGAATAGCGAGGAGTGGGTAGTGAGTTGTGCGCAATGAGCAGAGAGTAGTGAGTAGTGGGTGGTGAGTAGCGAGTGGGAGAAGCGAGTAGGGAGAAGCGAGTAGTGATTAGCGAGTAGCGAGCAGGGCGTTGTGAACAGTGAGTAGGGAGGCGGGAGTAGTCAGGAGTCAGTATTGACTAGTGAGTAGGGAGTAGTGCGTAGCGAGTAGGGAGTAGCGAGTAGTAAGTAGTGAGTTGTGACTAGTGAGTAAGGAGTAGTGAGTAGAAAGTAGTGAGAAGGGAGAAGTGGGTAGTCGGTGGGGGGGGAGTAGCGAGTAGAACTTAGTGAGTAGTGAGTCGTGAGTAGCGAATAGTGAATAGTGACTTGCAACTAGTGAATAGCGAGTAGGGAGTAGGGAGTAGCGAGTAGTGCGTAGTGGGTAGTGACAATGTCCTACTGGGTAGTGGGTAGCGGATAGTCAGTAGTGAGTTCTGGGGAGTGCGTAGTGAGAAATGAATTGTGAATTCTCAATACTACGTAGTGGATAGTGGTTAGTGGGTAGTGAGTAGTGCTTAGTGGGTGGTGAGTAGTGGGCAGTGAGTAGTGTTTAGTTTGTAGTGACTATTGAGTACTGGGTTGTGAGCACTGAGTAGTGAGTTGGGAGTAGTGAGTACGGAGTAGGTAGCAGTGAGTAGTGAGTAGTGGGAGCGTAGTGAGTATTTAATAGTGGGTAGTGAATAGTGCGTATTGGGTAGCGAGTAGGGAGTAGCGAGTAATGGGTAGTGAGTAGCGAGTACTGTGTAGGGAATAGCGAGTAGTGGATAGTGAGTAGTGAGTTTGCGGGCAGTGCGTAGTGAGTATTGAAATGTGCGTTGTGAGTAGTGGATAGTACCTCGTGGGTAGTGAGTAGTGATTTGCACTTAGCGAGTAGTGGGTAATGAGTTGTGTGTAGTGAGTAGTGAGTGCTGAGTAGTGAGTAGTTTGTAGTCAGTAGTGAGTACTGGGTAGGGAGTAGGGAGTGGTGAGTAGTGCGTCGTGGGTAGCGAGTCGTGGGTAGTGAGTCGTGAGTAGTGAGTAGTGAGAAGTGAGTCGTGAGTAGCAGTCGTGAATTGTGGGTAGTGAGTACTGCGTAATGAGTAGTGAGTACTGTTTGGGGCTAAGTTTTGGGTTTGGTGTTCGGGTTTGGGGTTAGGCCAAGGGTGGGAATTAGTGTTCGGGGTGGTAAGGGTCGGGTTCTGGAGACCGGGGGCGCCGTGTCGAAAGGGGGGGAGGGGTGGGGGGGCTCGAATTTGGCGGCCAAAGGGGGGGACGGGGGAGGGGGGGTTCGGCCCACCCCTCCTTTTGAAAGGGGGGGGGGTCCCCGACGACGGACGGGGAAAGGGGGGAAAGGGGGGAAAGGGGGCCCGACGACGGATCGGGGAAAGGGGGGGGGGGGGTCCACCCCTCCCCCTTTGGGGTCATCCAGCGGCGCGCCTTCGGGATGTGGCTCAGCGCCAACGCCGCAGTGAACTCTGCATTCATCCGCTGTGTGAAAGAAAGGGTCCCAGACATTCGGCGCCGAAACTGTCGTCCTCTCAATGCGATGCCCGCAGAGACTCCTTTTCCCAGGGTATGTTTGTTCATCTCTGGTGGCTCTTGACAGGTCTCGGGGCCCAGACTCGGCTTCCAGACGCTCGCTGAGAATCGCGAAGCATTTACGCCTTCAATATCTCAAGGCGGGAGTCGTGGGAAGAATCCAGGCTTGCGCTCGCGCCTGCTAGGCGCGGTGGCGGACAGTTTCTTGTCCGGCGAAGCCCGTCTGTCCGCACAAGGCGGCTGCTCGGCCCGGCGGCGGACAGTTTCTTCATCAGGCGAAGCCCGTCTGTCCGCGGAAGGCTCCTGTGCTCCACAGCGTTGCCTGGCCAGTGCCATCTTGGGCGTAAGGATGGCTTGGAGGGGGTCGATGCGTACACCACGTCGTGTGGTCGGCCAGGGAGCCAAGTAGCTCGGCGAAGGAACTCGGTGTCTAGACGCTCCAGCGTCCCACGCCTTGGGCAGTCGGGGCTTCTGTAGACCGAGCCTCGTGGCCAAGCAGACCACTGGTTGTGTACTCCGAGCCCCTCCCAATGGTGCGTGGGCCCTGCAGGCCTCGGCCAGGAGAGCGGACGCACGCCATGCCAAGGCCCCGGGTGGCCCTGGCCAGGCACGGTCGTGGTGCACGGGTGCCCTCTGCACATGCTCTGGCAGGCCGTTCCCAAGAGCAGCGCGGCCGGTGCGCGGGCTTCCCTCGAAGCCGCTGGGGCGTGAGCCAGGGCGGCTTGCGCCGGCGCGGCTGGGCGGCGGCTCGCAGCCGACCGTCGATGCCGTCTGGCATGAAAATCCGAGCGCCAGGGGCATTCCCAGACCTTTGGGTCGAGGGCCGAGGATTTTTCGTCAATCGTGGGCCGATGTGTTTGCATGCGTTTCCTCCCTTCGGGGGCCCGTCTTGCCGTCGCTGCAGCTTGATTCCATGGACCATCATGTCGGAATGCGTGTGCTAGGGTGCGACTTCGCAGGAGGAAGAGGCAGGAGCTGAGACCTCTGGCGGCGCTGAGAGGATCGCCAGAGGTGTTCCATCACCTCCAGCCTGAAAAAGCAGTTGCCTGACGGACCCATCTCTATGCAGTCATGTGCAGTGCAGGGCGCGGGTCTCTCTTCACACATTGCGCGCCGCGGGGCAGTGCGGAGAAATGGTTGCCGCGGGGCACGCGTGCACGGGTGCGCTGAACTTCTTGTGGGCACGATTCGCGTGAAGGACCGCGCGAAAACGCCATCTGAGGCCACAGGTGGACCTCCTCCGGGCACGACCAGTGCGAGGCATGTTGCGAGATGGGCGCGGGGACGCCATGCGAAGCTGCCCATTGGTGTCACAGCTGGAGCTCCCAGGGCAGGATTCGCGTGACGGGTGTGTCGACATGGGCGCGGAAGCCGTTGGGCGAACCTTGTCTCTGGGCCTTCATATGGTGCTCCTTGTGGGCACGATCCGCGTGATGGGGTGTGCCGCAATGGCTGGGGGGGGCGCAGTGTGAACCCTGCCTCTGGGACCGTGGGTGGAGATCCCTGTGGGCCACGATCCGTGTGAGAGGTGTGCCGAAGTAGGCGGAGGGCGGGACGCGAACCTTACCTCTGGGACCGTTCGTGGAATTCCGTGCGGGCCATGATCTGTGTGAGAGGTGTGCCGAAGTGAGCAGGGCGCTGCATTCACTTACGGGGCATGATCCGCGTGGGGGGCGTGCCACTATGCGAGCCTTGCCACTGGGGACGTAGGTGGATCTCCCTGTGGGTCGCGCTCCCTGTAAGGTGTGTTGGCATGTGTGTGTGGGGGGGGGCAGTTGGAGCTCCCTATGGTGCACGATCTGTGTGACAAAATATGTCCTACGATATCGAACAACTTAAAACTACAACTAGAGCTTGCTAGAACCTGAGCGCGCGCGAAGCGCCCGCGTGGTTCACGTCTGTGTGTATGCATGCATGTTTGTATGCATGTATGAATGTATGTACAATTGTACACATGCGTTCACGTAAGTAACAGGTTGGTATGTCTGTACGTACGCACGCATGTATGCATGTATGTATGCAGGTGTATGTTTGCATGTATGTACGTAGGCTGGCAGGTAGGTAGGTAGGCAGGTATGCACGCATGCTTATATGTATATATATGGCTGTATGCATGTATTCATATAGGTATGTATGGATGCGTGAAAGGATGTATGCATGTTTTCGTGTACACATGTACGCATGCAAGCTCGAATGCATGGATGTATGTATGAATTGATGGATTGCCTGCACTGGTGCTCGAGGTTCGCGCGCGGTCGTAGGCTGCTGGGCATCTTGGAAGCCTCCCACCCAAGGCGCCCCTGCTCATCTTCCGCTTCCTCCTTGTTGCCCCTCTGCCTGCTGGGGAGGCAGGCATGAGGCAGAGGAGAAGGGGAGGGTGTGTGTGCGGACACGGAAGATGAGAAAGGGGGTGGAGGAGGGAGTGAGGACGAGTGAAGTGTGTGTGGAGGTGGGGTGCAGGGCACACCAGGCGTCTCACAGCTTTTTCGAGTGCTTGCCACCGCGGTGTCGCCTTGGCGCTCGACAGCTCCATCGCCTCCAGCAGCGTCCCTCGCGGCAAAGAGCTGGACAGCGTGCTCCAGCGGGACCCTAGGCTGTCCCAGAGCATCCGTCACTGGCTCACGGGGACCACCAAGCAACACTGGTGGGACGACCCAGCTGACGGCGCCCACCGCATTCGAGCTAGCAGCGGCGTGGGCCAAGGGTGCCCGCTTTTCGTGGCGCCCTTCGCAGTAGGCATTGCGGACGCGCTGGACAGGCTCTACCTGTACCTCCAGGCCTTCTCGCCCTCGTGCAGTGTGTTCAGCTACCTCGGCGATTTCGTGGGCTTTGCACCGCCAGAGCTCACAGAAACCACACAGCTCGTAACTGGCATCGTTAAAAAAAAGTGCGGGGATGGGCCTCACGAGAGCGCCCAGGATCGTATCCTTCAACCATCTTCCTCGTGCCTATCCTCGAGGCTGAGCGCTGTGGGCGCTGCTGCCCCTCGCGAGGCGTTTTGCCCGCGGAGGTCCTCTTCCGCCCTGCCATCGTCGTCTTAGTTGCCTCGTTGTTTCCCCTCCTCGCGCACGCTGCGATTACCAAACAGACCGAACAATCCCTCCCCTCCGTTTGATCGTTGCCTTCTTCCCCCTGTGTTCTTCTCGTGGTCTTGGTTCGCGCCACCTCTCCGTTCCCTCATGCCGTGCTTTCCCTCTCGTGGCATTACCCTCTTCCTTCATGTGTCATATAAGGTACCCCCTTTCCCTCGCTTCTCGATTCGCATTGCCTTTCGGCTCCCGCTCCTGCTCCTCCCCGCGGTTCCCGATTCCCGCTTTCCTCTCCCCGCCTCCCCCCCTGAAAACAGGAGGAGGAGGAGGAAGAGGAGGGAGATGAGGAGGAGGAGGAGGAGGAGGAGGAGGAGGAGGAAAAATAGGAGGAGGAGGAAGAAGAGGATGATGATGATGAGGAGGAGGAGGAGGAGGAGGAAAACGGGGTGAAGGGGGTGCTTTGCTACCTCCTCGCCCTGCGGTTTCCTTGCTTGTCCCTCCCGTTTGCGGGTCTCTTGCCGGCTTGGCCCTGCGGGTTCCTCGCCCTCTTCCTCCTGCCGGTTCCTTCTTCCCTGCCCCTGCTCCGCTTCGCTCTGCCCCGCTCCTGGCTTCGCCCCTCTCCCTTCCCTCCCTGGGTTCGTCCCCCCTTGCCCGTGGGCTGGGCGCCCCCGCGGGCGTCCCCCCCTCGTTCCTGGGCCGCCGTGCTCCCTCGGGCGTCGCCGCGCGCTCCCGGCGTGTTTTCTTTTCCTCGCTTGCTCATGCGGTTCGACGCGACCGGTCTGCGCCCGCGGCGCGACCTGTGGAGGCAAAAGATTAGGAAGAGGAGGAGGAGGAGGAGGAGGAGGAGGAGGAAGGGGAGGAGGAGGAAAAGGAGGAGGAGGAGGAGGAGAAAACAGGTGGTGATCAAGTGCGGCGGTGGCCACGAAGGCGGGCCTCCCCTGAGTCCAATATAAGTCGCCGCCGGAGCCGTCGTCCGAGGGGAGACCGGTTGAACACATATTTAATTCCAGGACCCCCAGCCAGCGAGAGGCCCGTGCGGTCGCAGTTTTGATGAACAGTTGAATCCGTTGTGGTCTTCACAAGAAGACGCAGCAACACGCGCGCGTGTTTGTTCGAGTCATGGGGTGGCGACGCCATTGTTTGTTCCATACTTTCTCGGAAATTCGATTATGAGATCCACGCGAAGCCTAAAGAGTTGGTTGGGTTCCGACACTCGCGCACGACGGCGCGCGCGTGTGGACTTCTCTTCCGTTGTTTACAAGCCTTGGTTGCAAGTGGTTCTTGGTATTTGATGGTCCTTAATAAACAGGCGCGCGCATTGTATTATGTGACACGGATGACGGGGGGTCGATACCGTCTGGGCTGGAAAGATTTGAGCTCATACGGAAAATTCGCGATGGGAATACCATATGTAATTGGTAATGTCCCAAGGGAAAGCTAAGGCCTGTTGGGGGGGATGACTTTATCCCGTGTTTAAGACGAAAGCGAATTCATTTATGTACGGCGGCGGAACACATACTATTTCATCAGATCCGTCACGCGGCAAAGCCGGCAGGCAAGACACATTCTTCTCCATTGCGAACGCCGTTGGGCAATTCGGGGGGCTTGAACAAATACGATCACGTCTGTGTGTTTCATCACACGGCAGCGCGGGGGCCGAAACACCTTTTTCATTCTCGTCGCCATGTGGCCGCGCAGGGGGGCGAACCAACTTCAAGTGTACGCGGGAAGTCACGTGGCAACAAGAAGTGGCCGAGAACATATCATGTTTTTTTGGTTCGGACAATGTACGGGTCCATCTTGCTCGCCACGGGGCAATGCAGGCGGCTTGAACAAACAGTATGCTACTGGATTCGTCACGTGGCAGCGCAGGGGGCCGACAAAAAAAGATTCCATTAGTCGCCACGTGGCAGCGCAGAGAGGCGAACCACATACACGTCTACGCTGTACGCCACGTGGTAACGCAATATCCGTCACGTGGCAATGCAGGAGGTGGCTGAGGGAGGGGGGGTACTAAAACGACAATTCTAATATACTTGGCACGTAGTCTTCCAGGAGGGCGAACACGCATTATCCCATTTCGTCGTCGCTCGGCAACACCAAGGGACAGAGAAAATACGCTTGTACTCTCTTCGTCAAGTGGCAATGGAGGGGGTATACATAAAAATGAAGTCCAGGGGCGGTACCGATCCGTCACATGGCAATGCAGGGTGTGTGTGGCGGAACAGTCTGATTTGTTGTACGGCGGAATGGGATTCCTTTCTGATCACCCATACCCATACACACATACACATTTGCACGCACCCACGCACCGTGTATATATGTACGTATATATATATATATATATATATATATATATATGTATAGATTGACCAGTTTATCCGTCAAGTGGCAATGCAGGACGTGCAGTCAGTAAAATGGTATCCTAGTCTGTTCGGCACGTGGCAACGGAGGGCAACGGCAACATGCTATCCCACTCTCTCGCCACGTGGTAACCAATACGGCTGCACTCCTCATATGTCACGCGGCAGTGCAGGGGGGACGAAAACAATACATATTGCAATATATGATGTCAGTGTTGTTGAACTCTCATTTCTGAAAATAATTATTGTTGATCCCCCCTCACCGGTGCATACTGTTCTTTCTCAACCAAAGTGTGCCCCTCGACGCTCGCACCCTGTTTTTTGACTGGGAAATTCATGATGCTCAAACTGTGCCCCTGGCCCCCGGGTTACAACAACAACGGCTCCCGCTTGAGATTTCCTCACGATTTAGTTAGGACCCCCGCTCCCGCCTGAGACTTCCTCGCATTTTATTCAGGAATCGCGCTCTCGCTTAGGACTTCCTGGCAATTGATTTAGGAATCGTTCTCTCGGCGCTCTGGAGTCGCGCTCTCGCTGGAGACTTGCTTGCAATTTGCTTAAGAAAAGCGCCCTTGCGTTGGAATTTCCCTTGCGTACTCCCAACACTCAGGCACCCAGGAGTCGCGCTCACGCTTAGGACTCCCTCACAGATTATTTAGGAAACGGGATCTCGCTGCCTTTCGTGGCCCCGTTGAAGCCCTTCGTGGCTCCCTCGCTGCCCTTCGTGGACCCGTTGCAGCCCTGCGGGGCCCCCTCGCTGCCCTTCGTGGCCCCGTTGCAGTCCTTGTGGCCCCCTCGCTGCCCTTCGTGGCCCCCTTGCAGCCCTTCGTGGCCCCCTCGCTGCCCTTCGTGGCCCCCTTGCAGCCCTTCGT